TGCTTTTGAAAGATGACTAAACTTATGAGGAAAGACCTATCCAAATTGTGAATCGCTGGATCAAAAAGTTGAGAAATAAAGAAATACCATTGGTAAAAGTTGATTGGCAAAATCACGGAGGAACCTATGCAACTTGGGAAACCGAGGAAGACATGATGAAGAGATATCCGGAATTGTTCCCATTAGACCCAATGTTGTTTCCGAATGAAGGTAATTCGAGTTTGAAGGACCAAACTCTTTTAAGGGGGAAAGATTGTAATAACCCCAACCTCCGATTAATGCTAAACCATGATTATTTATGCCTAACAGTATTTTAGAAGGAATCCGAAATTAAATTGCATATGTATTGCATTATCTTTGTGTTTTTATCTATTTGCCATAAAATGATCTGTTCATTTTTTATGTTTTAAACTGCAAATTGAAGGCCTTATCGGCAATCGACTCCGAAACTGATTAGTGTTTTGTGTTAATTAGAATTAATGTGATTTTATGGTAAATTTAGTTGAAATTTAATTTGGTGTGATTCAATTGGATTAAATAGGCTAAATTACATTAGTTCAAGCTAATTACCATTTTGCCACTTAGTGGACAATCCTAGGCCATTACTCTCCATGTTATGTGTTGATATCATTTTCATTCATCTTCCTAAAACCAAAACCGACTAGAGAGAGGGAGAATTAGGAGAAAACAGAATTCATCAAGGATTGGCTTGGAGCTTAGGAGAATTGAAGAGTAGTTTGCATATTTGAGCTTCTAAGTTTGGAATTCAAGGTTTAAGGTAGGAGATTTCCCCTTCAATTGTGAATTTAAGATTAATTCTTGCATGGTTCATGGAAGATTAGAGTTTGAAGTCTAGAATTGGTTTAAGAGTTGGATTTGAGAGTGAATTCATGCATGCATGCACATATTCTTGGATTTTGGAGTTGTTCTTCATAAATTTCCACATGCATGTCCACATTTTTGTTATAGTCCATGAATTCATCCTATTCTTGAGCTTAATCTTGCTTTGGATCATGTTTTGGAGCATTAGAAGTCATGAGGATTCATGCATGTTGCATTTAAGTTATGTTCTTGAAATTTTATTTGAAATTATGTTTAATTGACTCACCTTTTACAAATTGATCTTTGAAACATCTTATACTATGAGTTTACAAGTGTTTTCCAGAAAATGGGCCCAAGAGGTCGAGTTTTGAGGTGTTGAATGCTTGGTTTGAGCTGGGGAGGCAAATCTAGAAATTTCAGAATTTGGTTTCCTCGCTCGAGCGAAGGATTCCACGCTCGAGTGACCATCGTTTGTTCAGAGCTCCGCTCGAGCGAAGGAATGGTGGCTCGAGCATAAATTGCAAGCTCTCAGGTTTTTGGTGCACGCAGACGCACACTCGAGCGACGAGACCTATGCTCGAGCGAAGAGCTGTGTCTCACGCTTGAGCGAGCATCGAGCGGTATCGAGCGTAAAATTTTAACAACCAGTACTTTTGCATTTTTATAGACCGCTCGAGCAAAGGAGTCTACGCTCGAGCGACCCCTCTGTTTTGACAACCTCGCTCGAGCGAAGGAATCTACGCTCAAGCGAGACCCCTGTTTTCAGCAAGTTTTGAAAAATATTTTTCAAGGCATCTTTGTATCCTCATTCCATCCTAGGCATTCCTAGGCCATGTTTAAGACTATATAGTGAGGATTTAAGGTTAGAAATACACTAAGAACCATCGACGTAAGTTTTGTGCAATTAGAATGTGTGTTTCAAGTGTGTGTCTGTTATGTGTTATGTAGGTCACGTGCTGCGTGTTGTGTGATCAATCTGCTCCGTCTGTCTATTTCAAGGCCAACTGTGAGTAATAATTTAGTAAAGTTATGTTCAAACTATATCTACTTTCTGTGTGATAAGACAAGATCTGTTTTCCGAAATGATATGTTCTGTACAATGAATGATTGTTCAATTTCTGATATGTATTCGTGACATCCTTAGCATCATGTGATATCTGTTAGCTGTTACCCGGTATCAGAGGTTCCTTTATGGAACTTATTTCTGTCTGCACTCTATTACCCGTACCGGAGGCCCTGTCACGGGGGCTCAGCTTCTGTTCTGTTCTGTTGCCCAGATCCGAAGGTTTCTTTATGGAACTGGTTATTCGTAACCTCACGTGTATACGTTCTGTTCTGTTCTGTTCTGGTAATGCTAATGGATGTATCACGTAAACTTAATCATGACTTATGATTTCTGTCTGTATATGATCTGGATAAACTATGATTTTGATATGAACTGAATTATGATTTCTGAATCTGTACGAATTCATTCCTTGAAACCCTTTACTCTATTATTATTCACCGGGCTTCGCTCACAGTTTATATTATGTATGTAGGTGAGCCAGCATGTGACCAGGGCCAGAGTTAACGGCCTTCTATTCTGTTTTTGTCAGCCAACTGTTGTGGCTCCCGAGGAGGTTCCGAACGAAGCCTAATGCCATGGCTGTTTTTGTAATCATGCTAGTCTTTGTGTATGCTCTGTAAAGTCAGGTCTTGGGAAGCACATTCTGTTAATACCTTGTGAATATTGTGTATCTGGACTGGTGTGTTTATGTAGATATAAATAAGTTTTGAAATGTTCTGTCCCATGTACGTTATCACAGCTCATTGGACCTTGTCTATTTTATATTATTGCTTCCGCAGCCCCTTATTATTTGCTAATCTGTTTAGAGGCCTTTGGTAATTCACGGATTACTGGCCGGTTACGGTGCTAAACCTACAGGGACGGGTTTGGGTCGTGACAGTATTGCATCTCATTTTGCCCAAATTGACATTTTTCCCTTTTTACAAATAACCCGTGAGATCAAGTACAGCCAATGCAACTTTTAAATGCTGAAAATGTTCTTCCCAAGATTTGCTATATACAAGAATATCATCAAAAAAGACTAAGATGAACTTTTGCAAATAATCTTTAAATACCTCATTCATTAGGGATTGGAAGGTAGATGGAGCATTAGTAAAGTCGAACGACATTACCAAGAACTCATAGTGGCTGTGGTGAGTTCGGAAAGCAGTTTTTTAGGTGTCTTCTGGTATGACACGAACTTGATGGTACCCGCTACGTAAATCAAGCTTTGAGAATATTCTTGCTCTATTCAACTCATCCAATAACTCATCAATGACTTGAATCGGGAACTGGTCTTTGATTGTGATCTTGTTAAAAGCACGATAGTCGACACACATACGCCATGATCCATCATGCTTTTTAACTAAGACGACTGGTGATGAATAAGGGCTATTACTGGTTGTGATCACGCCAGTAGATAACATTTCCGCCACTAACTTCTCTATCTCCGCCTTCTGATAATGAGGGTAGCGGTAGGGCTTGATATACGCCGGTTCACTACCTTCCATTAAGGGAATCTTGTGATCATGTGCTTGTGGAAGTGGTAGACCTTTGGGCTCTTCAAACACATCTTGGAATTCTTTCAAAATCTACTGCAATGGTGGAGGTTGACACTCAACCTCAACTTTTGGAAGTGGAGTCCCAAGTGTGAACAATTGGAGCAACACCCCCTTTTTTGATTTTTTGAATTGTCGGCTGAATTGTAGATCCCCAATTATCTGGTCCCTTGGTACAGATATACCTTGGAGAGACACTTCTTTATCTTTTATCCTGAATTTCATCTGCAACTTTGCAAAGTTCCACAAAATTGGACCAAGTGTACTCAACCATTGGGTGCCCAACACAATATCATATCCTTCTAATGGAAGCAAATAAAAATCCACAAGAACAGGTATTCCTTGCAAAATTAATTTAACATTTGTACACTTACCTGGACTGGATAACTTTTCACCAGAAGCAACCACAACCTCAAACTTCCCTCCTTTCACAGGTTGTAATGCCACCTTTCTAGCAAGAATTTCACTAATGAAATTATGAGTGCTTCATGAATCCACCAAAACAATGGTTGATATGTGTCCAACGCCTTCTTTTACCAGCATTGTTTCTGGTGCGCATGCACCAGAAATCACATGCGAGGAAATTTCAGGCACCTCTTTGTAGTCCTCTTGAATAAATTCTTCTATGTCCATAATAACGTCGTCATCTTCTTCTTCATAGTAGGCTTCAATTAAGAACAACTTCTTGCATCGATGTCCAGGAACAAACTTCTCGTTGCAGTTGTAACACAATCCCTTCGCATGACGCTCTTGCAATTCTGTCGGTGACATTCGTCGAATTGGAAGTGTAGCGCTGGTGTTGGTTGTCTCCTTATTTGTCACCTTCTTCAAATCAGTCATGGGAGTAGCTCGCCGTTGTGAGATATTGCGAGCTTCATACAACCGGGAAAGTCCAATGGCGGATGACAAGTTTGTAGGACGGCCAGATAGTACATCGGCTTTGATCGATTCTTTTAATCCGCTAATGAAACAACTGACTTGGCGGTCTTGAGGAAGTAGTCCAACTTTAGATAATAACCTCTCAAATTGGGTCTGATAGTCACGTACTGAACCAACTTGTTGCAACTTCGTTAACTCTCCAAAGAAGTCTTGGAAGTAGCCGTATAGGGATGTGACAAGGAAAGGAAATGAGCATATTTGGACAACCTATCAACAACTACCAGAACAGTAGTTTTCCCATTAGACATTGGCAATCCATCAACGAAATCCATAGAAATATCCTCCCATACCTGTGTTGGAATAGGAAGCGGCTGGAGTAATCCCGCAGGGGCAAGTTGTTCGGCCTTGTGTCGCTGGCATGTGTCACAAGCTGAAATGAACTCCCGAATTTTTCTCCTCATTCCAGTCCAATAAAAATTTGCTCTAATCCGCTGCACTGTTTTGTGGTATCCCTCATGGGTACTGTTGTGGAACTGATTTAGAATCTCATTAATTAAGGATGAATTTTCAAGAAGATAAATTCTTTCCTTAAAAAATATGACTCCGTCTTTAAACTCCCATGGTCCCACCGCTTCACCATCCATGATATGTTGAACCAGCATTTGCAAATTTGAATTGGACTTGACTGAGGAGTGCCCTGTTTTTGTTTCTTGGAACCTATTGTAACAGAGTTAAAAAAAAGACAAGCAATACAATATTTTGGGTTGACTGAGGAACCCTCGCCTCCAATTAACACAAGTGTTTAACAGTAAAAATGACCACCTCTTTTTATTCATGACTAGCTACTCTTATATTGGCAGCCTCAACGTTCACAACCATGAAATTAGGAAAAGAAGTTAGACCCACTACTTTCCTTGAAACCAGGTCAAACCAACTACTAACAATTATCACTAAAAACTAGGATTACTTACTGCAAGGATAACAACCTAAATTAAAATATTATTTTGAAAAACAATAAAATAACAGTCACGTAACACAATACATCAAACTCCCACTTTTGCTTTGCATATAACATTCAATACATGAAACTCCCAAACAAACTATTCTACCATTTGTAAGCTACTAACAGGACGAACCGCTTCAGAACTTTGATTATCCACAAAACCACCATCCTTGTTCCCCTCCTCAACCTTCCTCCAATCCCCCCCTTCATACTTCTTCGCCGTATCATACGAAGCATGCAATCCAAACAAGAAATAATATGCCAACAAAAAAACAGTCCAGACCGCAAACCTGATAAACGAGTCCTTGTCAATCAACCCAAGAAGAAATATATTGATCGCAATCGATGCAGAAGGCAACCATGGTACCAATGGGACTCCCCAAAGCTTGGCTTGCCTTGCCATGGGAACAAAAACCCTAAGCCCAATTGTGGCGAAAACCCAAACGGGAACTGTAATGCAGTATCCTATCCAACCCTTTTGGGAGAGTGCCCAGTAAACTGAAGTGGCGATCGAAGAGGCGAGGATGAGGAGGAGGCAGACGATGAGCTTGATGCGATCGGCTGGTGTAGTGACACCAGCCACGTAGTAGCGGCGGACAAGGAGTGCGAGGGCGACTAGCATGAAGATGAAGAGGGTGGAGATTGAGAGGAGGTTTGAGATGATGCCGAGGTCGGTGAAGAAGGCGATAACTGCTGTGGCGGCCAGCATGCTTACTGTGGCGTTTATGGGTGTGCCGGTTTTGGCATCCACTAGGGCAAACCATGGTGGCATCATGTGGGTTCGAGCTATGTGGGTCAGATAGCGAGCCTGACCCACAGCTCCGACCAGCAACACTGATGTCATACCTGTCAAAATTAGCAAAATTATTAAAAACAATTTCAACAATCAATGCTATATATAATTCTAATTCGTTACTACTCCATCAATTTTCCCTTCAATTAATATTAATTCATATTCTTTGGACAAAAAATACTAGAAGCAAAATAATACTATGAGCAAATTGAGTTTTATTATAGAGATATTATACTTCATTTGAAAAGAACAACAATATTAAAATAGTTGTTACGTGTTTATCTAGACTACCTTATTTCAACTACTGAATATGAATTTGTTCTTCAAATGTTAGAACTGCCTCAGCTTTCAAAAACAATGGTCACAGTAACCACTTTTCAAAAGGAGAAAATGAAACAACTTTAATAGTTAAAGAATCCAAGATGGCATTCTAGCTGAGGAGCAAAGTGTAATTAATCATTTTCAATCCCACTGTTCTATGTTTTTAAAGTTTAATTTGTGGACAAAATTTTTCAATAGAGAATGCTGCGGCTTCTTCAAGTTTATTCATTTTCAATAAAAAAACCAACAGTAACTGCGATTAACACATGCTCTATGTAACTTTTTATTTGCAAGTCAGTTTCTAAATTTAATTCATTTGTGCAATTTTATTAGGTTAATTACACCCAAACACAAATATTACTTTATCCCCAATTTATAGACTCATTCATTTTGATTCCTCAACTATAAATAAGGATTTAAAAAGCAAAAAGAAAAAGGTAAATGGAATACAAAATGATATTTGCTACTAATTTATATAATCTAAATGTAATTAACCCTATTTATTATAACAGTTAAAATTTAAATAAAAATTAAAAAAAGTACCTTTGAGTGCACCGGCGGCAACGATATATTTAGCCCAATCCCACCCAACAGCTTGGAACGCCACGGAAAACGGAGCATTAGCATCAATCGAGGCATACGGTTGCATAAGGCAAAGAGTAACAGCCAACAAGCAATACACAATGGTAGTAATCACCATCGATCCCACAAGCCCAACTGGAATATCCCTCGTCGGGTTCTTCGTCTCCTCTGCCATCGTCGACACAGCACCAAACCCAACATAAGCAAAAAACAACACTGCTGAAGCCTGAAACACCCCGCGAGGACCGAAAGGCGCAAAATCAACATAATTCTTCGTATCAGCTTTGATGAGACCGGCAATGATGATGAAGACAATGACAATGATGTGGACGATGGAAGCAAACTTGTTGAGGCGAGAAGAGGCTTTGGTGCTGACGACAGTGATGATGCCGATGACGATGAGGACGCCAATGGCGATGGGGTCGAGCTCGTTGTAGCCTTTGGCGAGGCCGTGGGCGTGGATGCGGAAGTTTTCGGGTTTTTTATTGCAGAGGGTGGCGAAGTATGAGGTCCATGAACGGGCTACGGCGGCGCCACTGATCACGTATTCGAGGAGGATGTTACCGGCTGCTATGAAGGCTACGAAGTCGCCGAGTTCTACTCTTACGTAGGCGAATGAACCACCTGTAAAAAGAAAATTTCAGAGATTATACTTCAATGCCGGCATTTGGCTCGCTGGTGAAAGATTTTACGAAATTTGATTTTTTTATGAATTGGTGTATAAAAAGTAGGTGGGTGATCATTGGTTTAATGATTAAGACTTGACCTAATAATTTTGGAACATCAATTTCTGCATTATATCAAAAATTAGGTATATATTCAACTGAGAGGGTGATTTATGATCTGGAATTGGGCCGAGGCAACAGCCGAGCAGGTTGACAGCCCAACCGTGCATGGGGCCGAGATGATCGACTATCCGCCCGGAGATGGGCTGCCAGAACTTGGCCCGGGTAGGAATTGGGCCAAGTGTGTGCCGCCCCGGACAATAAAGAAGCTCGGCAAGGCAGTGCTCGGTTGGACCGAACTGCTTGATCAGGGGATGGTTGAAGCCAGACAAGCTGAGCGACCGGCGCCCGGAAAGGCATGGTCAACTGAGGAAACCGTTTGATCGGCAGGAAGGCCGACCACAGGAGGTGCCCCGGGCTCGGCTTTGCCGAGATGCCGCCTAGCCCGGTCCTCCTTGGGCCTAGCCAGTGAAGTGCTTGGGTATGAAGCACAGCACGGCCGTGGATAGAGCAGCTCGGCTGCCGAGCTCCAGCTGGGAAGGCAGGCAGTTGTGATTAGGTGATGATCGGCAAGGTTTATGCTGACAGATGGGATAGCGGAGCCACGTGTCAGGAGATGACTGGGAGTGGATATGGGGCGCAGAGGGTATATAAGCATGTCTGCGCCCCCCATACGCGACAGATGAACACTTTGTAAGGAATTTCTTACACTCAAACACCTCTCTCTCTCTCTCTCTCTCTCTCTCTCTCTCTCTCTCTCTATCCTAAGGTGTGTGCTAACTTGGTCGTCGGAGGGTTTTTCCGGCCACACACCGCCGAGTAGCTCACCATTCTTTGCGCGCAGGTGATCGGACATAAACGGAGCTTGGAAGAAAGGAGTACGGGCTTGCCGGAATATTTGCTCCCCGTACAATTGGCGCCGTCTGTGGAAAAACTTGACAGACAAAACCTTGTCTTCCAGGTTCATCTGATTACCGTCCATGGCAAACAACGATGAGTTCCCGTTGTCTACCATAGATGGAGCTACCCCGGAGTTCACCCGAAGGAGAGAAGGCCCTCCCACCATCCATCCAATGGCGGACTTGGGGACCCCCACCGGAGGACAGTCAGGAGACGCGCGGGATAAGCGCGGAAGAAGTCATGGACATTCACGGAGTCCAGACGGTCACTGGCGGAGGAGAGACTCACACGCCAGACGTTTGGAAAATAAGTTGAGAGATCAAGACGCTGTCATCCGGCGAATGGCGGCGGAGATGGAGGATCTGAAGCGGCATGTCAAAGGGAAGGGTGTAGCTGGAGTGGGAGACCACAATGAGCGCACCCCATCCCATCGTTCAGGCGGCCAGAGTCAGCGACATACTCAGTCCATATCTATTACCAGAAATTACCAGGTTGGTGATTCCGACGCGCATGCAAAAAGTCTAGCGCGCAAGACAGCACCTACAAACCCTCACGTCCGGCAACGACGTCGAGGTACTCTTACTCTGCTCAGTCAGAGGATTTACGGGCGGTCTTAAAGGAGCGGGCTCGTCGGCGCAAAGCCCAGAGAATACCTGCTTTCCAGCGGCTATCCTACAGGGTTCACGCCAGCGAGGAGGTCGGAATGCCTCCACCCCGCCAAGCGGCGCCACTCTTTGAAGATACGAACTTGGCTAGGCTGAGTGCCACCCCTTTTTCCCTGGAAATAGAAACAACACCGCTTCCGACAGGCTTCCACCAGCCTAAGTTCACACTTCACGACGGAAAAACCGATCCATATATGCATGTGAGCCACTTCCGACAGGTTATGGCCGGACATAGGCGCAGTGACGGACTTATGTGCCTAAACTTCCTGTCAAGTTTAGGCGAGCTGGGCTTAAAGTGGTTCGAGAGGTTGCCGGAAGGAAGCATACAAAGGTGGCACCAGCTGGCCGAGGCGTTTGTTACACGCTTCAAAACCAACACAAAGACACCAAAGGAAGTCGATCATTTGCTAAGTGTCAAGATGGAACCGAGCGACACACTGAAGGTATACAACTCAAGGTACTGGGAAACCTTCAACGAGATCTTGGATTGCCCGGTCAACCTCGCAATCACGCAATATAAGCGTGGTCTCCCGGTCGGACATAGACTGCGGGACTCGCTTACCATGCACCAGCCGACCTCCATGGGCCAGCTCATGCAGCGCATCAATGAACACATCCGAGTAGAGGATGACGCGTCAGCTTCTACCGTGAAGGCCACTCCGGTAGCAACAGACAAGAAGACAGCAGGCAAAGTGCACGCAGTTGGGCAAGAGTCCAGCCGCTCAAGTGACCGAGCAGAGGAATCGGACCGTGGCTCGAATCGTAAAAACCGGGGTAGAGGACATCGGAATGACCGGGATGACTACCCCTGAGATGATGTAGCAGACGCAAACAGAAGGCTAAAGGCAAGAACTGGCATAACCACGGTCTTCAAGATTCCAATCTATCGCATACTTAGTGAAATCCGAGACGAGGAGTATGTCCAATTTCCTGCTAAGTTAGGCGATGGGCAAAAGGGCTACAATCCGCGGTATCGTTGTACGTTCCACCGGGAGAGAGGCCACCGAACTGAGGACTGTTTGCCTTTGAGGCAACACTTAGAAGAGCTGGTCGCAGCCGGGCACCTGGACCTTTACATTGACGGCAGTGTGAAGCCGAATCAGGCTCCGGTCGATCCCAGGGGACAGGATGACCGAGATGCACCACCACAGGGAGTTATTAATGTCATCCACGGCATCGTAGAACCGGAGCGTGTTTGCGAACTCCGGGGCATGATAAAGAAGACAGAACATATGAGGGAAGTTTTGTCGGTACAGCCTGCCATAAAAAGGGGGAAGACTGAAGAAAATGATGTGATTAGTTTCACCTCAAGGGATCTAGAGCGTATCCAGACGCCGCACGACGATGCCCTAGTAGTAACACTACGCGTCAAAGAATTCGATGTTAGAAGGATCTTGATCGATCAAGGAAGCTCGGTCGAGATCATGTATTATGATGCGTTCAAGCAGCTCAAACTCCGTGAGACAGACTTGGCTCCGGCTACTTCGCCACTGGTTGGATTCAACTCGCAATCATAGTGGCCCTTGGGAAAGATTATCCTGCCGGTCAAAGCTGAATCCGTGGTCAAGCAAGTGGAGTTTTGGGTGCTACAAGTGCCTTCGACGTACAACCTTATCCTTGGAAGGGGATGGCTTCACGCTATGCAAGCCGTAGCGTCGACCTACCACCAGGTGATGAGATTCCCCTCGGCAATGGGGGCAATCGAGGAAATTTGGGGTGATCAGGTCATGTCCAAGCAGTGCTTCGTGGCGGTCAACGGGAGCCGGGCTGCCAAAGGATTCGTTCAAATGATTGAAGGACCAGAGGACCAGGATGTCTTGGATGATGTGGGCACCAAGGCCGAAGACAAGGCAGTTGAGGAATTGGTTGAGGTGCGAATTGATACAGAACAGCCGGACAGGTTCTTCTTGCTCGGTTCAAGTCTCACGGCCATAAAGAGGACCGAGATGGTTGAGTTCTTGATGGCCAACATCGAAGTCTTCGTGTGGTCGCCTTACGACATGCCTGGCCTCGACCCAAGTTTTATGTGCCATCACCTCAATGTCTTCCCTGGAGCAAAGCCAGTCATCCAGCGAACAAGGAGATCGGCACTGCATCACGCCGAGGTAAGTTGGCAGAGGAGATGAAGAACCTGCTTGAGGCACGAGCATTCAGGAAGTCACTACCCTCGTGGATTTCCAACACAAGTAGTGGTGCCGAAGAAGAATGGAAAGTGGCGAGTTTGTGTCGACTATAAGACAGTCAACCGAGCTTGCCCAAAGATAGTTTCCCTTTGCGCGAATTGACCAACTCGTGGACTTGACGGTTGGACATAATAAGCTCAGTTTCTTGGATGCCTACCGCGACTACCACCAGATCGCCATGCATGGGCCTGACCGGAGATCACCTCTTTCACGACTCCAAGGGACTCTTCTGCTACCGAGTCATGCCTTTTGGTTTGAAGAACGCCGGGGCAACCTTTCAGAGGATGGTGACCAAAATGTTTGCTCCTTTACTTGGCCGGACAATGGAGGCTTACATCGATGATATGGTGGTAAAGAGCCGACATGAAGCGAACCATTTGTCCGACTTAGCCGAATGTTTGCATTCTAAGAACACAAGCTGCGCTTGAATGCGTCAAAGTGTGCCTTCGGCGTGGGATCCGGCAAATTTTTAGGATTCTTAGGCCTCGTTTGGGAACATGCTAATTTAGTAACTTTTTGGCTATTTGGCTAAAAAAGTAGGTAAAAAAAACTTATATGTTTGGGATGACTTTTTGGCTAATTACGAAAAGATGTATAAAAAGTAGAGAGAAAAGAGAATCTTTGACTTTTTGGTATGAGTTGTTGGCTTTTTGGCTAAAAGGGTAACTTTTTGACTAAAAAGGTAAGTCCCCAAACGGGGCCTTAGTCACGAACCGAGGCATCGAAGCGGACCCTACCCAGATCAGAGCCGTGCAAGAATTGAAGCAGCCCAGCTCGGCTAAGGACGTGCAACATCTGACCAGGATGGCCGCCGCGCTTAATCGGTTAATAAGCCGGTCATCAGATCGCTGCCACCCTTTCTTTCAAGCATTGAAGTCAAAGTTCTCGTGGGACGCAGAGTGTGACCGAGCTTTGGCCGAGCTCAAGGAATATCTGTCTACTCCGCCACTGTTGGTTACACCAAAGCCGGGAGAGGAACTTTACCTTTACCTTGCCGTCTCCCAGCACGCAGTCAGTGCAGTGCTAGTCCGCGCTGAAGGAATCAAGCACTTACCAATTTTTTATGTCAGCAAGACCTTGCTGCCGGCTGAGACGAGATATTTGCCGCTGGAAAAGCTTGCGTTGGCATTAATGATGGCTTTGAAGAAGTT